GGGGTGGGACACAGACCCACCCCACCAGGAGCCAGCAGACACTTGGAGCGAGCAGGCAGGAAGCCTCTCAGCCCCCCTGCACTGCCGGTGGTGAGTGGGGGCCCCAGGCTGTTTTAAATGGCCCAGAGGATGGGGGGGAGCGCCCAGGGGCGGAAGGCAAGGCTGAGGAAGAAACCTGGCCTCAGACAGTGCTGGAGCCGGGCCCATGGTGTCTCGGGACCAGGAATATTCCTGGTGCCCAGGCACTATGGGCCCATAGAACTCACCGCCCATGTCCATGCTGATGATGTTTGTTAAAAAAAAGTGTGTTAATTAAATTTGTGACAACTCCTTTGGGGAGAATTCTATGTTCCCTGCTCTGTTTTACCCACATTCTGCCATATATTTCATGTTATAGCAGTCTCGGATGGTGACCCAGTACATGTTTGATTTACAAACACTGTCACTGCAGATTTGACAAAATGTAAAGAAGGTACCAATGTGAGATTTCTAAAAATAGCTACAGCACTCCACCCAAGGTTTAAGAATCTGAAGTTCCGTCCAAAATCTGAGAGGGACGAGTTGTAAAGCATGCTTTCAGAAGTCTTAAAAGAGCCTCACTCAAATGCGGAAACTACAGAACCCGAACGACCAAAAAAGAAAATCAACCTTCTGCTAGTGGCATCTGACTCAGATGATGAAAGTGAACATGCATCGGCTGCTCTGCTTTGGATTGTTATTGAGCAGAACCCGTCATCAGCATGGATGCATGTCCTCTGGAATGGGGGTTGAAGCATGAAGGGACATATGATTCTTTAGCACATCTGGCATGTAAATATCTTGCAACACCGGTTACAACAGTGCCATGTGAATGTCTGTTCTCACTTTCAGGTGACATTGTAAATAAGAAGCGGGCACCATTATCTCCTACAAATATAACCAAACTTGTTTGTCTGAGTGATTGGCTGAAGTAGGACTGTGTGGACTTGTAGGCACTAATGTTTTACATTGTTTTATTTTTGAATGCAGTTATTTTTTTGTGCATAATTTGACATTTGTAAATGGTATTCTGTTATTGTTTAACAGTGCGATTAATCATGCGATTAATTTTTTTGATCACAAGATTAATCACGATTCATTTTTTGTAATTACGTGACAGCCCTAATTTTTTTTAAAGTGTGACAAATTAGTTATCACATGCTATCAACAATTAGCTAGTCTACTAACTCTAGCAAGGTGCTTTCAGATAAAACTGTTATGCTACGTCAATGCTAATTCTTCACTAATGTTACTACTACCAAAGATCAATGAGTTAATTAACAAGATTTCCATTTTAAAGTGCCATTGGCTTCGGTGGAAGTTTACAGCTAGGTAACCAAGAGTAGAATTTGACCCGATGGTACATCTGAGTCTGCAAGTTTCAGCCAAACATATTTTTCTCAAACTGTTGTTGACTCTCAGCTACGTTGAAGAACCAAGTTCACCACTGGCATAAGTGTGTGCCAGGCTACTTGGACTTCAGTGGAATGGGGCTTTCTGATGCCAATGGTGAAGTTTGCCCTTTGCCCATAAGTTCCACCAAAAAGTAGCAGTTCCAGGGTCAGGATTACAGCCATACAGAGAATGGGAAGAGAGATGCTGAGGCTTTTTTGTCTCTGTCTTTTAAATGATTTAATTTAATCTCCCTCACTCACTCCATCTTTTTAAATTAATACAATTAGTTCTTTGATGATTGAATATTGTCATGTACCCAAGGAAGTCTGGGTTAAATATAACAGAGATTCTGCTGACTTGAGCTATACACTGGATCTAGTTAGCATGCACAATAGATGACCACTGGTTTTAGATGGTGCATACCCATCATTCCAGACTTGGTAAGAAGAATTTTGCCCTGGAAACAAGTTAGTAATCATGCAGTGTGGCCCATTAGGAGGGCATCTGATTTCAAAGGAGTAGCATTTTAAAAATGCATGTATAGGATGTAACATGTAGGAAGCTAGAAATGTTAAGGTAGATAGGTTAATTAAATGCAAGGCAATCTTGCAGATACTTACTGACTTCAATAGGGCTATTCTCAGGAAAGCATGTGTGTGTTTGCATTATCGGGACGAAAAGCTTCACCACCAAAAATTCAGGTGAAAAAACAATTTCTCTTGTACTTAGTTAACTGTAATCCATGAAATCTCCTTGTGCAATTTGTGTTAACTAGAATGATTAACGCTGTTGGAACAAACTACCAAGGGAAGTGGTGGATTCTCCATCATTCTTCTTTTTTTTTTTGTATGGCATGTGTTATAATGGGGTCGGTCAGACTAGATAATCATAATGGTCCCTTCTGGCTTTAAGATCTATGAGAATGGGTCATTTCTGGCCATGTTGAAGAAAGAAGAACCTTTTCTCCACAGTCCGCACCTACTATGGCTTCTTTAGTTCTGCAGGGTCGTCTGATAAAATGTTAATAATAAAGCATCCTTTCCCCAAACCACTTTTCTGCCACCATGGTGCTAGGAGCACTGTCTGATAATTCAGGGTAACTAGATTATGGAAGTACTGCCAGGGAATATAACAAAACCCACCCACATGAGACAAAAGTGGGGTGAGGTGCTACTGAAGAAAAAAGGGGTGGAAGGAAAATGGCTTGCAGGACCGTATGTGTCTGTATGTGTGTGCATGCTCATAATAAAACCCAGAGCTGGTTGAAAATGTTTGAATTAGTTGGGTGGGGGAGGGGTTTCTTGTGGGTTTTTGTTTGTTGTTTGCTGTTGAAAAATGACCTAGTTTTAAAAAATAAGAATTGCAATGAAAAAATTCAGGCCTAAATATGTTTTTGTTATTGAAAGTTTTAGTTTTCAAAAACGAAAAAAATCAGGTTTCTGGTATACAACAAAAATATATTGTGGTTTTCATTTAAAAATAATATTGGGGAAGGGAGGGAACCCATAAAACTAAAAAGGGGTTAATTTGAACCACTTTAAATTGAAAACAACTGTGACATTTTAAACAAAATTAGCTTTCACTTTTTTGTAGCTGCTCTAATAAAAATAAGTTTTTGAAGGATAAGTTTTTTGGTCTGAGATATGGTGCCAAGGTGGACTGAGAAATGGGCTACACTAGTGGGGGGCGGGTCGAACTAAGATACACAACTTCAGCTACGCTATTCATGTAGCTGAAGTCGAAGTAGCTTAGTTCGACTTACCTTGCCATCCTCATGGCAGCAAGTCGACCATCGCGGCTCCCCCGTCGACTCTGCTTACTCCTCCTGCCGAGGTGGAATACGGGCGTCGATTCGGGGATCGATTTATCGCTTCTAGATGAGACGCGGTAAATCGATCCCCGATACATCGAACACTGCCCGCCGATCCGGCAGGTAGTATAGACGTACCCTGAGTCCCACATCATAAGGGCCAACATACTAAATGTACCATCGTGATGTCCCTACAGAGGCAAGGTCCAAGGATAAGATCTGAGACAGAGCAAGAGACTTTAGGCCCTGATCCAAAGCCCATGGAACTCTTTCCATTGATTTCAGCAGGTTTTAGATCAGACCTTTAAAGATCAACAGAACTGGTTTGAAATCAGAAAATTAATCTGCCACTCTGTGTGTAGCCACTGTGAAAAATACAGAGTGGGAATAAGTAAAAGCAGGAAGGTTCAGCCTCAGATTGATTCAGCAAAGGCTAAACTTCATGCGCCAGACTCTCCACCAGTTCTTTAAGCCTCTCTCTCTCAACCCCATATCTCTACCCCAAGATCTGCTCCCTCCTTTCCCCACTCCTCTTTCCTCCTTCTCTGTTTTCAGGCTAAATAAAACTGTCTAGGCAGGGCTAGGCTGTGAATGAGAGGACAGGGGAGAGTAAACACGAGGAAAGCTATGTAGAACCCTGAATGTAAAGATCCTGGGAATTGTCATCCTATCAGTTGTGTGGGTGCAGCCCCTGTTGCACTTCGGTAGGAGCTGGGTGTGCTTGTTTAACTGGCATGGTGCTCAGGGCCTTCTCCATTAAGGAAGTGTAGGATTGTTATCTCTGCCATCTCCCTATTTGCAATGTGCTCCCTGGGTGAAGTGCTCCATCTACTGACGAAGTGTTCTAGGAAAGATGGCTGTAGTGGAGTTAGATATTGAGGCTCAAGGCAGGATGCTCCCTTCCCTTGTAAAGCTCCGTGGAAAGAGAGCAGAGACCATCTAGTCATGCGTCCTTGTGGGGCTGGAAGCTTCACATTGGTAAAGTGGGAATGATTGCAATGAGCTGCATTATCTGGAGATCTGTGGGAGATATCAGTGAAGATCCCATGGAACAGAGGCCATTCTGATACCTCTCAAAAAGCCAAACCCTGCTGGGCACATCCACACTGCCTCCTAGCCGAGGTGTGAAATCATACTGATAAGCAGTAGCTTTTGATGAATTTTGTGTTGTAACTTACTGTGACTTCAAAGAGGAACATGCCAGACAGAGCAGCTGTTCCTCAATTAATTGGCTCATCCAAAATTAGAGGTGTGAATATTGAAAATCTGGGCCTCGGAGCTTAACTTTAGGCGTACCCTTTTTAGAGTCTTGTCCCTTCAGTACGTTGATCCACAGGCTAGACATCAAAACTGGCCTCTCATCTCAGTTCCTTTCTTAGTGCCAGTAAACGTCAGGTCAGGCCAAAGTGCACTTAGGGAGACTACATACAGACTCCTTTTGGCAGTGCAGTATGGAGCACTGGGAGAAGTAGTAGGGTGTGTGACCAAATTCCTTTAGTAGCCTTTACAAAGGCTGTTTTCAGCTCCAATTTAAACATGCCGATCAATCAACTCACTGATGATTTTTAAGTGCAGGTCAGCAGCTTTTTCTGTAAGCGGCAAGTAATTACATGTTCTTTGTCTGGACTGGATTTCTGATTGTCTCAAAATCTCTAAGACAGAGTTTTGTTGTTAATTTTACTCTTATATTGAGTGTTATAATTTGTTCACAGTCCCCTGTCCTATCATACACCCAACCAGGAAGTTTTGTTTTACACTGTTTGCTCCTCTCTTCCAGAAAATTCAGCTGCTGAAGAACGCATTCTTTCATGCTTAGATGAGTTGAATGTTTAGCACCAAACTTCCACAAAACCATCAGCCTGTAAGTAAATTCCTCTTCTTTAGTGACAAATGTGCCCCTGGGTTTATAGGGGTTTGACTCTACTTGAGCATGGCCTTTACAATATCAGAGTCGATAACCATGTGTCTTCTCTGTGTTGCTTTCAGCTCTTCATGCTGCAGCTCAGTTGGCAAAATATGGTGTTGCTCTGAACTCTCTGACCAGGGTAACACCTCCCTGTGTAACATGAAACCTCCACGCATCCCCTTATTTATTTGTATTGTGGTAGTGCCAGCTAAGACCCTTGTCATGGGCCAGGGCCCAATTGTGCGAGGCTCAGTACAAATACAGATAAAAAAGATGGTCCCTGCTCCAAAATGTTTACAATCTGCCTCCCCAACAGAGTTACAAGGACCATGACAACATCTATGGAATCATAGAATATCAGGGTTGAAAGGGACCTCAGGAGGTCATCTGGTCCAACCCCCTGCTCAAAGCAGGACCAATCCCAAAACAGATTTTGCCCCAGATCCCTAAATGGCCCCCTCAAGGATTGCACTCACAATCCTGGCTTTAGCAGGCCAATGCTCAAACCACCAAGCTATCCCTCAACCCTGCAAACACACACAGGTCATTTTATAGATGTGCCATTGTCACTGTTTATCATGAGTCTTGCAAAATTTGGTATTTTTCTTAGAGCCTCAGCTCCTGGAGTCAGGTAAATTAGGTCAATTTCCAGCCTTTATTGCAGAAAAAAGTTATAAAGTGTGACCCTACAGGTTCAGAAATCAGCAGGTAAATAAAAAGAGGCCAAAATCATATTGTTTTTTAAATTGCATGATTTTTTTAAAGCCAGTCTTCTGGGCTTTTGGGGACCTGACTCGTGAATTTTGAACACTTGGGGTTGGCAATCCTGGACTGGCTTCACTGACTTCAGTGTCAGTGAAGTCACATGTGAGTGTTTGCAGGCTGTGTGTTTGTGCAGCTCCTACCACAATGGGGACCTGGCTTGATGCACGATCACTGGCTGAAGTTCTATGGCATGTGTTCTGTAGAAGGTCAGACTAAACCAGTGTTTCTTAAACTTTTGAAAACTTGAACCACCATCAGGAAAATGAAACAATCACTTGCCTTGCAAACCCCTCGGATGTGTTGTTAGTCCTCATCTCAATCCATGTGACTTCCACCTTCTCCCTTCAGCGAGTCCTTTATGCCAGTTGTCTCCAAACTTTTTTGATCGCGCACTCCATCAGTAAAATAATTTTGAGCATGCACCCCCTGCTGCGCCGAAGCAAAAAAAAAAAAATGCCACTCGGACTCCTGCTCCTCCTGCCACGCACCCCAAGGATCTTCTTGCGCACCTCTTGGGGTGCATGCACCCCACTTTGGAGACCACTGCTTTATGCTCCACCGGGGGCTGTACCCCGCAGTAAGGCTGGACTAGTAGATCACAGTGATCCCTTCTGGCCTTAAAATTTATGAATGGATCCCAAATCTGGGCCTCTGGACCCCATGCAAATATAAATATTAAATAATAACAAGCACATATGGCATATGTCAGTCTACTAACTACAATAAATGGGTCGAGCCATGACTAAGTCAGTAAGAGAGCACCGGCAGCTGATCACCCATCTGAAACCTTAAAAGCATGGAGTAAATGCCCTTTCTCATTGCAGTCAAAGCTCTCAGTTGTTGGCTCTCTGTTTTCCCTAAAGATCACAGGTTGCCCTTTACATTTCCTTTTAGAGCCATAGTGTCCAGTTCTACTTTAGGTGTAGCTGCAGATTACCTTCTATATCTATGAGTGAGAGAGCAGGGGTTGGCCCAGTGTCTGCACAGATCCATTAAAAGTAGCACAAAGACTCAGTACTAATCATGTTTATTTTGGCTTGCCATTTTTTGTTTTTTAAAGAGCCAGCACTTAGAGAAGCCAAAACAGTTGGCTGAAAAAAGTGGTGACTCAACATACCAGGGGTGGGCAAACTTTTTGGCCTGAGGGCCACATCTGCGTGGGGAAATTGCATGCAGGTCCATGAATGTAGGGCTGGGGCAGGAGGTGGGAGTGCGGGGTGCGACAGGGGGCTCAGGGAAGGGGGTTGGGGTGCAGGAGGGGTGCGGCAGGGGGCTCAGGGAAGGGGGTTGGGGTGCAGGAGGGGTGCGGCAGGGGGCTCAAGGCAGGGGGTTGGGATGTGGGGTGCAGGAGGGGTTCAGGGTATGGGCTCCGCTCTTACCTGGAGTGGCTCTAGGGTGGCAGCGGCGCACAGCGGGGCCAGGGCAGGCTCCCTGCCTGCCTGTCCTGGCCCCGCGCCACTCCCGGAAGCGGCCGGCACCATGTCCCTGCGGCCCCTGGGGGAGGGAGGGCAGAGGGCTCCGCGCGCTGCCCTCGCCTGTGGGTACCTCCCCCAAAGCTCCCATTGGCAATCCTGCAGGCCGGATCCAAAGCCCTGATGGGCCAGGGCCAGCCCACGGCTGTAGTTTGCCCACTCCTGCAACATACCCTTAAGGTGCTGATGCAGTAAAAATTACAAAGTGAGAGATTGTTGTGCTCTATAATTTTAGCCCTTTAGTACTGAGTTCAACTTCAGCTCTGCTGGGATTCTAACGATGGCCTTCTTCTTTAACACTACGACAGTTCTGTTTAATCCAATGGTTAAATCTAGAACAAGAAACATGAATGAGATTTCTTGTTATTAAAGTGATCCACGCTAATGCCTGGATTAAAGGTAACAGAAGGTCTCCATTTGTGTAAATGAAAAAAAAAAATACTCAGCAAAACACAGTGACTCAGCAGCTTTCATGCACTTAAGCCTCAAATTGCAAATGTGACTTTTGCACCTTGCCTGTAAATGAGTTCATGTTCCTAGCTGAAAGTTCCCTTTCAGGTTACATTTCAGCCTGGGCAGTGTGTTATAAGCCATTCCCCGGACAACATGAATGAAGGGGCCAGCTCTGGAGGAGAGAAACAGGAGCTGAAATTCAAGAGAGTGATCTTGCAGGACCAGAACAAGCCAGAAAATATGATCCAAAGGCAACAGGTGATCCGGCTTACCTATTTGATTACAGCCATGGACCTGACCTGCTTGTTCATGCAGATTGGGATCATTCCAGTGAGTACCATTTGAGTCTGCTTTAATAGAGCAGACCACTTTCTTTCAACACAGACTATTCAGTTTTTCAACAACATTACAGGAGACTTTCTACCAGGAAAGAGGGGAGAAAGTTTAGAGTCAGATGTAAGTGAATGTAGTGGCCTTTCACATGGCACTCTATGTACTTAGGGTGAATAGATGCACATAAGTAATGACAGGCAGACAGTACTTAATTTGTGCCAGGGCTTGCCAGGCTAAGCCCCAGTACCTCTAGGCTTGGCAATTCATATCCCCAGGACCTTTGGGCTTGCCGCGTCAATTATGAAATTGCTTGAGCCCTGGCACCTCTTTCATTACCAATTAAGCACGGCAGGCAGATGATTATTATTTATATTGCAGTAGTGCCTAGAGGCCTCCACCAGACGTGTGCTGCATTATGCTGGGCCCTGTGCAAACCCAAAGTGCAGTCCCTGCCCCAAAGAGTTTATAATCTAAAACACAAGCTGTAGTAGGTAGGTGAACTAACAAGCAGGCATGGGGAGGGAGCATAGGGTAACAATAATAGAATATCTTAGCGTAGACTGCTTTGTGCACAGTACGTATGTGTAATAAGCCAATCAGGAGCCTGTAATCACAATGTGTCACTTGTCTAGTGGTTCTCGGTTGGCAGCTTTCTGTAGACACCATGCAAGAGGTGGTTTTAAGGAGGGATTTGAAGGTCAATAAAATAGCGGCGTTACAGATTTTGGCAGGGCACTTTCCCCACATACAAGAGGCTACGTGGTAGAGAGAGCAAAAGTGTTTGTGGAAGATTGCAACTGGCCCTGTTGTCCAAGTAGAGGTGGGGATTGAGGTTGCATTAAGATAATAGGATGGATTAGTTATGGCAGGGCTGAATTGTGAAGGTGTCTGCTTGGAAGCCAAGACATTTGTGTCTGATGCAGTGGAGGAGGGGGAGTCAAGGGCGGGTCTCAAAAGTGGTGTTGGTGTGATCAGAACAATGAGTCAAGAAGACGCTCTCTGTAGCAGCATTTTCAGTGGCCTAGAGGGCACAGAGTTGTAGATGCCAAAGCCAGACTGGAGGATGCTGCAGTAATCAAGTTGCAGGTCATTTTAAAGGGATATTATCAAGTAAAAATGTAGTTTCCACTCCATTCACAGGTCTGAGCTCTTCCTCTTATTTTTCTTCTCTCGCCTGCTATGAGAGCTCTCTCCCATCTCTGCATCTCCAGAGACAATCCACTCTGTGCCCCTCTTTCATAAACCAGTCCAACAGTGGCTGCGCTGTTGCATGGTCTTTTAGTGCTTGTCTGTGGGCGACTGATGTAATCACATTGGACTATGAGACTAAGGAGTAAAACTAACTTTCCGCACAGAAGGAATGCTGACTATTCACCAAGCTGTCTCCAATACAAAGAGTAAACCCACAGAAATATCTGCGCTAGATATATTATTTGCTTTACTCTTTCAGCAGCAGTATTCTCAAATACTGGTTGTAATAAATAGTGAGTAAAACTGTCCAGAAAGTAAAATGTCTTGCATTTATAATGTCCCTCTAAATACCCAAGGATGATGAACTAACATTGGAGTATTAAGTGTTGGCTGGCTACAAGAAGGAAGCTGTTTGAGTGATTTTCTACATATGTACATTTTTAGGCAAATTAATTTTATCCAGTGCACAGTATCAGGTGTTCCAGGGTACTCCATATGGCAATGCAAGGTGGCTCTCTCATTTACAAAATGTGCTTCGTGTATTTAGTGCCGGTGAAAGTGTCAGATTTACAGTGCTGGCAACTCTGTGCACAGGGGGTATTAAGTGCTTTGGAAGCTTCAAAATATTACGTTCACATTAAACATTACAAAGCAAAAGCCTGAGTCTGAAGCATCTGTCCCTTGGGCACAAGGTTTTTTAGGGTGCTTCCAGCTTTGGGATGTGGAGGGGACTGGGAGTACAGGTGCCATTTTGTTTATGTGATATTTGCTGTTAATGCAGCTTGCTTGATTAAACAGGGTGGCATGATGACACAATCTTCAAGATCCTACTGTGTGGTGCTCAGAGTGATGTACATGTCATATCCAAAGGCAAATGAGGAGTAAAGTTAAATCATCCCCTTCAGCATTAGCTGAGTGGTTAAGAACTTTCTTGTCTGCCTCAAAATGTCAATGTAAAACCAGAGAGACTGGGTGGGTGAGATAATATTTTTTTTATTGGACCAACATCTCTTGGTGAGAGAGACAAGCTTTCCAGCTACACAGAGCTCTTCTGTAGGTCTGGGAAACGAGTGTCACAGCTAAATACAAGCTGAACAGATTGTTTAGTATAAGTAGTTAACACATATTTCAAGGGACAATTCAAGGTGAAGTGGCCCGTTAACACCCCTGTAGTCATGGGAGTTAGTGGGTTACAGATCTTCATTATTGGGGCATTTAGTGCACTGGGTGCACCTCATTTATGGCTTTTTACAACAATGTGGGTGAAACCAAGCAATCACTATGCTCTCAATGAACTCGCACTGAAAAATGATAAAAGACAAAAACACCATATCCCTCGTGGGGGAACATCCTCATTCTCAAAGGAAACCTTGCACAACATTAGGAGCGTAAATAAATAACTCTGTGCTAGACACTAATAATCATGATCTTAATATAGGCACTGGATTTATGGCTTATTACAACAACTGATCCCCTCTCCCTTTTTGTCCTATGACTATAAGGATGTTAACCGGCCACTTCACCTTGAATGATCCATTAAAATATGTGCTAGCTACTTATGCTAAATTATCTGTTGGATCCTGTTTCTGAGGGCATGACTACACTTGCAGATGTAGAGCGCTGGGAGTTAAACCAGCCTTCGTAGAGCGCAGCAGGGAAAACGCTGCTGAGTGTTTACACTCTCAGCTGGAAGCGCACTGGCGTGGCCACATTAGCAGCTCTTGCAACCCCACAGAGAGCAGTGCATTGTGGTAGCTATCCCAGCGTTCAAGTGGCTGCAACGTGCTTTTCAAATGCGGGGGGTGGCATGGAGTGTGACAGGGAGTGTGTTGCGTGTATGTGGGGGGAGAGAGAGTGGGTTTTTGGGGTGCTGAGTGTGTCAGCATGCTGTCTTGTAAGTTCAGCCCCCCCCCCCCCCGCCTCTCTCTCACGCACTCACAGCAAGCAATATTCCACACTAATGGCTTGCTTTGTCCCGAAGCAAATAAGCATGCTGGCTGTCAGAAACGGAGCTTTGAAAGGGGATAGCCGCATTCCTATAGCCGATTCCAAAACAATGACAAGAGTGGCCACTTGACTTAAGGGGATTATGGGATGTTTCCGGAGGCTGATCAAAGCACAGTAATGCAACACCTTGTTCACACTGATGCTGGGGCGTTTCAGCCAAGGCACAACAAGCGTTCTGCTTCTCGTGAAGGTGGAGTACCAGGAGCACTCCAGCTGCAGAGTCCAGGCGCTCTAAGTGCCTTGCCAGTGTGGACGGGTCGGGAGTTAGGGTGCCTGGGGCTGCTTTAATGCACTCTACCTTGCAAGTGTAACCATGCCCTGAGTACCTTTCCCAGACCCGAAGAGCTCTGTGTAGCTTGAAAGCTTCTCTCTCTCCCCAACAGAAGTTGGTCCAATAAAGATATCACCTCACCCACCTTATCTCTCTAATATCCTGGGACCGACACAGTTACAACAACACTGCATGCAATAGTGTAAAAATAGAGAGCTAGGTCCATAGCTGATATAAATTGGTGATGTACGCTGGCTGATGATCCGGGCCAGAGACTTTTGATTTTTATCAAATAGCCTTTATATTCCTCATGTTATATTATATCTATGGGCAAGTACTGTTGCTTTATTTTGCAGGGAAGCACATGATCACTTATTACTATAGTAGTCCTGTACTTATTAAGCTCTTTAACATTCAGAAATGTGACATACTTCACTTTTTCTCCACTGTATTTAGTACTTGGCGAAGAGCCTGGGATTGGATTCAGTTGAATTTGGCTACCTCCAGACAACCTTTGGCGTTCTACAACTTCTGGGAGGTCCTATTTTTGGAAGGTAAATAAGAACCATTCTTGTGAACCTCCCATTCCCGAGGAAGATCAGAGTTATTTATTTTTTTAAATAAATCTACTTTATTCCTAGTTCTGAATCTTGGGAAATATTTTAAGAAGCTATCTGGATTTGCTAAACAGGCTACAGAGAAATAAATATTAATTAAAAATATTGTTACAAATAAATGGCTTTTGTATTAGTTATTGCTCTAAATTTGATTATTTGGATCCAGACAGTGTGCTTAGCCAAAACATTTAGACCCTGCAGAGCTTGCAATCTAATGCCTTAATCCTGCAAATCAAGCAAAGGAGTAACTTTATGAACATGAGCAGGACTAGGAAACCCAGAAGATGAGTGTAACTTGGCTTTTTGTTTTGTTTTGTTTTTTGTTATTAACCAGTGCTATTAAGAAATAGTTCTAGTGGAAATCATAGAATTTCTGTGTCTGATTCGGATCTTATTTACACAGGCATTGCACTATGTCACCATTTGCTCCTGATTTGCACTGGTGTCACTGCGATTAGAATCAGAAGGACTCTATATTTACAGTTCAAACAGCCCTAGCAAAAGGAAGGCAGGGGAAAGACTTGAGGATCTCCCTGTGTTTCTGCCTCTGAGCAGTTGCAGGAAATTGCTGATATGGGATACATACTCCTGCTCCAAATAGAAGAGGAGATGGGCCTTGAAAAACCTAATAGAGATGGAGATAGCAGATAATAGATTATCCCTGTTCAGAGATGCACAAAAGGAGAGGCAGAGTAGTCCAGTGGGTAGGGCACTGGACTGGACTGGGATGCAGGAGACTTGGGTTACATTCCTGTTTCTGCCACTGGTGTGTTCAGTGACCCTGGGAAGGTTGCTTTTCTGTGCATCTGTTTGCAGTCAGGGCCGGCGCTTCCACTAGGCGACCCTAGGCGGTCGCCTAGGGCGGCAGGATTTGGGGGGCGGCAGGGGGTCCTTCCACTCTGGGTCTTCGGGGTGCTTCGGCGGTGGGTCCTTCACACTGCAAAAACCCTGGCACCTCTCCTGTTTGCAGTGCCAGCTCTCCAGGGCAGGGACTATCTTTTGATTAGCACAGTAGGGCTAACAGGTGCTAACAGGATAGAAATAATTATTATTAATAATAATAGTCAGTTTCCCTACCAGTACAGCCCAGAAATGAATTCCTTCTTGTCTACAAACCTGAGGTGGTGTTAGTGGCATAATTCAAGTGATTTTTTTTCTATAAATATATAAAGCTGGAGGAAAATAATTCTGATCTGGATCTGTGAGAAGTGTGTCTTACTTCTGAAGCTCTGTTCTTTCTCTGTGGGCGGACTACCTACTGATGGCAATGGGAGATGCATGCAGGGATGAGGGGAACAGAATACAGGAGTCTAATTAGGATTAGATCCTTAACTGGTGTAAATCAAAGTAGCTGTGCTGAAAGCAAAATTTGCTGTGCAAATCTGAGATTGAAACTCCCCCCAGGGTGGTACTGTGAGAACTGTTTGTCCCAATGGGGAAGTAGATCTATAAAGGGGAATGCCATATCTTAGTTAAAATGCAAAAATGAGGAAATAGAGATTCACAACAAATCCACTAACTGCATTTTTGTGGACCTCAGAGTATGAGAATGAGTCAATTTTCCTTGTATCTGGATGACTTTGCTTAAAACTAACGTGAAGTTGCAAGCACTGAAACTGCTAGATTTTTTTCTTAAAAAAACCTCCAGATCATGCCATGAACTGGTCTCCTGGGATTACAAACAGCAAAAGCCCATGAGAGCTTGTCTACACACACAAGTTGCACTGGTTTAATGTAAATCAGTTTAAAATCATCCCTTAGTAAAATTGATGTGTCTTTTTTTTAGGCCAAGCCTTACTCTATTCTCTGCTTCCTTAGTTTAATATAATTAATTTTTATGCTACATCACAATTGTTGATAACCATAGTAGAAAACCCAAACAAAATGAAGATTAATAGAACCCTTTAAACAGCCTAGCAGTGCCTAGCTTGTGGTGACTTCTGTCTAGTCACCAATACCTTTTTCTACAACACTCTCGGGCTTTGTCTAGACCAGGATTTAAAGGTGTGTGGTTAGATTTAAAACATTTTAACCAACATATCTGAAAATGCTAGCACAGAATTTTCGAATGCATTAGGCATTATGTTAGCTGGAAGGGTGTAACACCACAATGCTAAATCCTAATCCAGACAAAGCTTCAGACTTCTCACAGGGCCACATTTTCAAGTGCGCAGCACCCACAATTGGGTCCAGGTTTTCAAAAGTGAAAAATCTGATCAATGTTGTGGGGTGGGATGACAGCATAGCATTGCCAGCCTGGATGTATTGTATTTACAATTGCTAAAACAGTTCCATTTCTAAAATGCTGCGTAATTTATATGCTAGGTTTGCTGACCAGTTTGGCACCCGAGCTGCATTAACTCTTTCATATCTCTCTGGATCTGCCTTCTTTCTGCTACTGTCCATCTCCACCAGCGTCCCACTTCTCTTCCTGTCCAGAATTCCATCCGTGTTTATGCATGGGCTACCAGGTAATGTCATGATAAGATGACCCAAATATTGGGCTCACTATTTTCCAATCCATTTGTAGGGCCTGACCCTGCAATTCTTCCTCACACGAGTAGGTTAAAGTTGGTAGAACTAATGAGGGTTGCAGAATCGGTCTCTGAGTAGTTGGGTTTTAAGGACATGAGGCACCGTTTTTAATGGTTAGAGGAGGTGGTTGGGATGCAGGACAACTAAATTCTGTTCCCAGCTCTGCCACTGATTTGCTGTGTGAGCTAGAGCAAGTCACTTATGTGCCTGGGATAGACTACACTGAGAATGCCACACTCAGGCCAGACTGCAAGAAATAGGGCAGACAATCCCCACAAGTGGTGGTTTATTCTATAATTAGATTCACCAAGCCAGTAACAAAAGAGCTTCTGCAGTACCACATTGGTTAACCAGAAGCCAAACACAGTCCTCTTTAGGCATTCTAGCCCTTGGCTCTCATCCAGACAACCCAGCCTAATATAGTGAGAGGTTATCGAAAACCAATTTCACCATGTGTGAGGTTCTTACTCATCCCAAAGGATCAGACACATATCCCCAGGTCATTCTGAATCTCAGATCTTACCCAAATATCACATACTAAAGATTTATTCATAAAAGAAGAGAGTTATAAATGCTTAAGAGATCACATACATACAAATGATTGCAAAGTCCATATATCAGGTTTGTAGCAGTGATGAAATAGGCTGCTGGTTTGTAAATTCTCTCTGGTAATGTCCAAAAGATTGGAAGGTCCTCAGACCATAGTTCAAGGTGCTCCTTTCAGTTGTAAATCCACGGTCCAGAGAATCAGAGCAGGAAAGAGGCAAAATGGAGGCCTCTCAGAGGTCTTTTATATCCTTTGCCATGTGCATGGAAATGTACTGTCCCAAACAAAGCCCACAGCCCAGGTTCATAGAAAGTTACTGGCCCAAGATGGAGTTCAGGGTCACATCCTTACATGCTTTGCTGACTCACAGGGGCAGCCATTGCCCATATTCTTTCTTAGGCATCCACTGGAAAGGCTTACTGGGTGGGATGAATTTCTTCAATGGCCCGTTGTGAGCTGAGTGTCTTTAATGGGCCATCAACACATAGGTGTCTAGTCCTGATGCAAATCTATTTGGAGGGTGTCACCCAGGAACAACACACATGTTGGAGATACAGCTACATAGCCAATAGTCATAACTCTAGATACAAGGATGATACATGCATATAAACAGGATAATCGTACTTAGCAAATCATAACTTTTTCCTTAACCCCATACTTTGTGCAAGATTTGTTGCAATTGTATAACCATGGTAACAACAATGATACAAATGGTCATCTTTTGTATACACAGCATCGCAGCTTAGTCTCTCTGTGCTTCAGTTTTCCCGTTTGTAAAATGGCAAATGACAATGCTGACCTCCTGGCCTCACCACACCACACCACACCATGGTGTTGTGAAGCTTAATTTGTTCATGTCTGTGAGGCCCTCATATGAAAGGCGCTATATAAGTACAAAGTGTCATTTATTATTTTTACTTGGGCTTGAAAAGTTTCACTGATAGCCACTTGCTTGAGCACTAAGCTACTTTACTATGCCCCCCAAAGCCATGAATCTTCATTCCCCCCAATAAACCAATTCACCCCCATCAATGAATGCCTTTACAGGGCACCTCTCCTTGTGCAGCCACCATTTCCACTGCTTTCCCGAATGTGCATAAAGCTCTCTAGCTTCCCAGCATTTTCATCCATCTGGGCCCTATCCTTTTAGATTCTCCCCCTTTATAATTTTTAAGGAGCAGTGTCTCTGCTCCCTCCCAGTCTTCCTGTTAAAGGAACAGCAGCACTTGAGCAGCTTTGTTCATTTCCTCCCCCTCTACCCAGACAGGAGGTCAAAAGCTCCCTGGCCCCACTCATTGCAACTTGCAGTGGGTGAGTGGGTTTTTCCATGCCCTGATTTTATTACAGAGTTAAGAGCTGTGTCTCTTTAGCAGATCAGAATTCATTCCAATGGAATAAGCTGTATCAATAAAATAAACTGCACATGTCCTTCACTGCAGTGCAGCTATTTCAGATTTCTCAGCTGCATTCACTCAAGTAAGAACTGTCCCAGAATAATTTTTAGCAACACGCAGCCACACACGGCCTAGCAAATTGCACGTCAGCATTAGTGAGTACCTCAGATCTGGCAAGCTGCATTACAATGGCTTTCATTCGCACCATTCCATTCTGTTTTGCTCCAGTTGTTTGCATCCAGTAAAAACCATCAGGCTAGATGCTCAGCTGGTGTAAATCTGTCTTGCTGATGGAGTATCGCTAGTGGGGGTAACGAAGACCCACACCGTGTTAATGTGGATTACACACAGCTGGCTTAAACTAAGAGAGGTCTTCACCCCATTAGCAGTTGGTCCACATAAGAGGTTCTGAGTCTTTTCCTTCTCCTGACTACTGGACTCTGGGCTGAACCCACAAAGGGTCTTAAGAGCTTAAGGGTTTGGCTACACTGCAATTTAAAAACCCATAGCTGGCCCATGCCAGCTGACTCGGACTGTGGGGCTATTTAATTGCAGGGTAGATGTCCGGGTTCAGGCTGGAGCCTGGGCCTGGGACCCTGCAATGTGGGAAGGTTCCCAAAGCTCGGACTCTGAGCCAGAACTTTTACACTGCAATTAAACAGCCCGTGAGCCCAAGTCAGCCGGTATGGGCTAGCTGCAGGTTTGTAACATATCCTAAGTCTCTTTGTTGATCTGGCCCTCAGGCCTTTAGCGCAAATAGTAGAAGTTTGTGCTTTTAGATAAAGAGGTCCTGGGGTCAGTTCCCATTCAGTGGGGCATTGCATGAGGCTCTGGCTCAGTGTTACAAGGCCTGACCTCTGGAAGAGCTCTGTCATTTGCATTTGTGCATGGTCACCTCAAGGAATAGATTTATCATTCAGACACCAGAGTACGTTTCATTTAGTTCAATGTTTCTTATCAAGTTTCTTCAAATATCTGTGTAGGTGCTCAGATGGTCATTACGGATCTGACTACTCCTGCTGAGCGTGCAGATGCATTAGGGAAGCTTGGACTTTGCTTTGGAGTAGGAGTAATCATTGGATCATCCCTGGGTGGGACACTCAGCACAAAATTTGGGTGAGTGGTTGAGTTGTTTTTTACTTCTGTCTTGCCGTTATAACAATTGATTCAGCTGCTGAGGAGTATTTTGTTCTCCCCTCATTTGATAATGTAAAAACATACAATTCTTTCCTTATTCTTTGGGTGCAATTTTCAGCTGCCGCTGCCTGATCCTGGGGCCAAATCAGCCCCTGGCACAAGTTAGAGAAACCCTGTGGCTGCTCTAACTTGCACTGGCTAGAATGGTTCCGTATGGGCCATTTCACAGGGATCAGCAGAAGGCAGTGCACTCCAAATCTGCCGCTTCCCTGCCCTGGAATGCCTTCCATGCCCAACGGCCCTGATGGTCCCTGTACCAAGGGTCAGGAAGGGTTGGCAGCTCTACACCACTCCAGGATAATCTAGTGCTGGGGAAATACTCAGCCCCTTTGTGCAGCCATGAAGGCACAAAGGTATATTATTAAGGGCCAAGGATCAATCACTTTGTCATCTGTGCCACTGTGTGTCACTATTGCTTGTTTTAAATAAGCCTAGTTGTAAATCCCCATTTCTGCAAGCTGGGCTAATATCCATGTCTCAGTTGCTTTAAAAGCAGCAATTATTAAAAAGTTAGTTAAAAGCTACAAGCAATCCAAGTCCAGGCTCTAGGCTTGTCCCCATAACTCCCTAAGCATTGAGGGCTGTGCGCGTTGTGGAGCAACTTTACCAGTGTATTAAGTGCTATTTAAAAACAGTGTTGTTATAGCTTTAAATCTCAAGCAGGGTGAGGCTCACAAATCACAACATTCTTAGAGGGACACTTAATGTAATGTGGGACTTTAGGGAGGAGAGCAGAGCTTAAGGGGGCCTGGAGAGTGGGAGTACGACAAATGAGGCAGTCTCCCACCTCCAAAACAAGGATGAGTGAGAGTGTAACCCACACTTGTCAAGTGTGATCATTCCCAGGGCTCTTTCTAGAGCACAGGTAGGTGGTGCAATGCTCGGGGCTGCTAGCTCTTGCCAGGCAGTGCAGCTGCAGAGCTGCAGCTTGACCTGGTGCTCTGTGCTGCGTGGTGGCATGGCTGGCTCCCACCGGACGGCGCGGCTGCCTGTCCTGGTGCTCTGGGCAGTGCGGCTGTAGTGCCGCCAGCCACCGGTGCTCCAGGTAGCGCGGTAAGGGGGCAGGGAGCAGGGGAGTTCGGGGTGGTGGTCAGGGGGCAGGGGTGTGGATAGGAGTCAGAGCGGTCAGAGGATTGGGGGCAAGTGTCCCGGGGGGGGCAGTCAGGAAGGAGGGGTGTGGTTGGATGGGGCGGTGGGAGGCAGTCAGGGGCGGGGTTCCAGGGGCAGTCAGGAAAAAAGGGTGGTTGGATGGGGCAGGGGTCCCGGGGGGGGGGGTAGGTCAGGAATGAGAGGAGGAGTTGGATGGGGCGGCGGGGGGCAGTCAGGGGAAGAGGGTCCGGATGTGGTTAGGGGACAGGGAGGGGTTGATGTGGCAGGGGTCTTGGGGGTCCATTAGGGGACAGGCACAGCCTCCCCTAACTGGCCCTCCATACAATTTCGGAAACCCGATGTGGCCCTCAGGCCAAAAAGTTTGCCCGCCCCTGTTCTAGAGCTTTGGGTAAACCTACTAGGCATCTTTAAAAGCGTGTCTGCACTTGCTGCTATAGAAAACCTTGATTTTTTTTTTTTTAACAAGTGTGATAGTCTCAATTCAGTCGGGACCATCATGATCATCTAGTCTGACCACCTGCACATTGCAGGCCACAGAACCTCACCCACTCACTCCTGTAATAGACCCCTGTATGTCCTTGGGAATTAAGCACCTAAATATGTTTGAAGATCTGGGCCTTAGTCTCTCCGGGCCTCAGTTCCTGCATCTGTAAAATGGGGTTCATAGTCCCTCCCTGTTTCACAGGGGTGTTGTGAGGATAAATACACCAATGATTGTGAGGTACTCAAATGCTATGATAATGGGAGCCATATAAGTACCTAAGATAGTTAGTTAGGCTTCCAAGTGGGAAAATCCTTCTGGACCCCTACTTGCATTATCCTCCCAGTATAGCAGCCAGTACCGTTTTCCCTCAGCATTGTCCTCCTCCACAGTCACAAAAACCTGCATTTATAAGGCCTCAGACTCTTACCCTTTGCAGCATGCTTTGTTAAAAGAAGTTGACAGGCAGGCCTCCCTTCTCCCTCTCTTTCACTGGAGCAAATTTGCTGTGCACCAGTGGTATGAGTTCATTCCGCAGGTAAGAACCAACTTCTTGATCTTTTTCACAGAACAGACTGCTCTAGTCTGATAACATTAGGGAGGTGAGAGGCGAACCCCGACTCATCTTTCTCTCAGGAGGCAGAATGACGCACATTCCCATGATTCTTCCACATGTATTCTTAAATATTTTGTGTGTCGAAAGAGTTAACAGTAGTTGAAAATTCTCACTACTAGAAGAAATCAAAATTGCAAATAAGTCTTCGTCCACTTGATGCCACTGTTGACCTGCAGTCATTCTTCTCATGATGTAGTATTTGGGTTCCATACGTGACAGTTATTATTGCCATTCATATTGTTTGGTTTTATCTGGATGAATACTTAATATTCATAGAATATCAGTGTTGGAAGGGACCTCAGGAGGTCATCTAGTCCAACTTGCTGCTCAAAGCAGGACCACTCCCAAGACAAATTTTTACCCCAGTTCCCTAAATGGCCCCCTCAAGGATTGAGCTCACAACCCTGGGTTTAGCAGGCCAATGCTCAAACCACTGAGCTATCCCTCCCCCATAAAACATTTAAGCAGTTTAATTAAAAATTCCATTTTCATGAACTTTGTGATTCTTCAGGCTATTACTGAGGCAAATAGCTTAGAAAGATGCACAAAAAGTTTGACATTGATTTGAGTAAAAGCCATATCTACAGCTACATTAAATCTACTACAAGAGCTACAATCCCTATTGTTCAGGGCACTGAGGGGCTGATTAAATTCTCACTGAAGCTAGTGGAAAGATGGTCACTGATTTCAATAGGCATTGGATCTGGCCCTTAATAATCAATATCTGAGGCCAGGAAAAACTTTTCCCGGTAATATAGCACTGCAAAACAATGTGCACTCTAATTTGCTTCCCAGTGTCAAAGACTGGACAGTTCTACATGACTAGTTCTGGTATTGAAAATCCTATTTTTGTCTACCTTTGGTTTGTGTTATGCTTCCATTTGTCTGCATGAATTACTTTGGGCCTTGACAATATATGTAGGATGACAAAGCAGTAGAAAACATCATGTTTGATATTCTATGGTGCAGTGAAAGTGCTGCTAAAATCTCTGTTCTGTATCTACATATTGGTAGCATTCATTTCATTTAAATGGCACAGTCAATCTGTGGAACTCATTGCTAGAGGATGTTGTGAAGGCCAAAATTATAACTGTGATAAAAAAAGAATTGGATAAGTTCATGGAGAATAGGTCCATCAGTGGGTATTAGCCAAGATGGTCAGGGATACAACCCCATGTGCTGAATGTGCCTGAGCCTCTGACTGCCAGATACTTGGACTGGACAACAGGGGATGGATCACTCAGTAATTGCCCTGTTCTGTTCGTTCGCTCTGAAGCATCTGATGTTAGCCACTGTCAGAAGAGAGGATGCTGGGCTAGATGGAGGGTCTTACCCAGTACAGCTGTTCTTATGTTAAGTGGCTTTGAAAAGAACCTCAGTTGTGGCTGTTGCATCCTCACAACTTCAACCCTGAAAGGATTTATCTTAATTCTTTGTGATCTTTGCCTATAATTCAGTGCTACATATTTGAAGCTGTGATTTAGGATGATCCATTGTTCAGCAGTTATACAGTTCAATTAAATGAAAATTGGGAAAACCTCTAATTCAGGGGTTGTCTGGATTTGAAAGGGCAAATAGTTGTCACTGGATATGTATATGCGATACTTTTGCATGCTCATAAGTGGATTTTCTCACCCAGTGTGGTCATTTTGTCTTTTCACAAGTATTAATTTCCAAAAAGCAAAAATTGTCATAGATTCTCTGCTTTAATCATGATTATAGGTCATGTGCACTTATATAAACAGAACGTCAAATTTGGATGGAACCTTCCTTTAGGGGAAATTGGCAGGATTGTGGGTTTTTCATTTTCCTTTGGGTAGCTCTCAGCCCATCGTTTTCATGTCACTGCAAGTGTGTGTGGGGGAGCATTGCTAGACTTGTTTAACTAGATATCTCTGTGGCTCCCAGCACTTACTATAAAAGCACCTTTCCATCTTGTGCTTTCATGCCACATTTTGTCTGTGTGTCAAAGAAGTTTTCAGATCTATGATGCTTTTCATTCAGCACTATCAGCCACTGGTTTGAAAATGTCCTCTAACAACATGGGGAGGGATAGCTCAGTGGTTTGAGCATTGGCTTGCTAAACCTGGGGTTCTGAGTTCAATTCTTGAAGGAGCCACTTAAGAATTTGGGGCAAAATCAATACTTGGTCCTGCTAGTGAAGCCAGGGGGCTGGACTTGATGACTTTTCAAGGTCCCTTCCAGTTCTATGAGATAGGTATATCTCCATATATTATAATATACCAGCTATTAGAGAACAGAAGAGGTATACAGTAAAAAGGAAGGGATTGGAACAGACTTTTGCCATACGATGTTTTGCCGGTAATGCACACTAGAGGGCACCAATGTTTTGAAAAGATTGCTGGACTACTCAGGCTCTCTTGCCAGTACCCTGGGAAAGGGGTGATTTCCAGGGTTCTCTGCTCTGACTTCAGACTCCTCATCCCTTTTGGATTCTGAGAGGCAAATTCTGTGATGCCTGTCCCTACTATTTACTGTCATGTGTTGCCTCAGTTAGACTGTCTTCTCTGCTCATTTTGCTCACAATTCGAAGATTTGAATCTTCCAGGGCAAGACTTTAAAAATCAACTTTTTTTCAGATCTTGGGTGCCCAACTTGAGACACTTTAAAGGGGCTTGATGTGCAGAGGGCAGATGCCCAGCACTGTCTGAATAGCAGGCCTCTGAAATGTGTCTCATGTTGGTCACTCAG